CTTCTCCCTTGATAATTTGTTGATTCATTGTTATCAGCGTTATAAAATAAACTGCACCGAACGCAATAATATCACACTCAATAATTGATAAATCAAAATCACCGTCAGTTTAATAACGCAATGTGTATTTGAAAACTTTATCAGATCTACAGAGGCGCCCGCACTAAGAGAAAAATGTCGAATTCAAAGTACGTATGTACGTCCCAAATCTCAGGCGCGAAGAGGCCGGAGTGGGAGCCGCCCTCTGTTTACTCTGTTTAAAATCTGTTTACCCTCCCATAAAAAGTTATCACTTCAAAAACGAAGACAAAAACAACCATCAGGTACCAACTGAACGTAAATAGCAGGTAATAATTGGATACTTATATCAACACTTCTGCATATTTGTTCAACATATTTATTATGTAATGTGAATAAAACTTATTTCAAATTTTGTTGAAGCACTACACGATCTAACTCATGTAATCTCAATATAAATTACATCTCTATGTTTATTAGTTTAATAATTAATTAATAACTATTGTAAAGATAAATTAATGTGCTTTATTTTCCCAATTTTGCCCTAGTTTTCATACGAACACAATTTTAGCAGGCGATTTGAATTCACTTTACGACCTCTGTGATTTCCGGTGAAGTTTCAATAATATTTCGAGTATCTTATATTGCCCTTTAATTGTGATGTTAATTGAAGTGCAAGCATAAACATCACAATTAAGGGGCATGTTGAAATGGTTGAAATGTTATTGAAACTTCAACGGAAATCCCAGAGGTCATAAACTGAAATCAAATACCCCGCTAAATTTTGATGTGAACTCAATCGATACAGAAGCTTTCTTCTGCCAGTAGTGGAAATTAGAGTTTAGTTTTGCCTGCAGCCACTGAGAATAAGCCACAAATAGCATTCTGCAGACACATATGTCAATTTCCAATCTATAACATCTGTGATCTGTGAAACTAACCTATATTTTTTTCTACTTAGGTTATCAGCGCTTGCCGGTCAGAATTTAAAATGCCGCCAAAGAAAGCCCTGACTAAAAAGGTATGTCTGCAAATTCCATAATTCAATTAATCGGTATTTAAATTATATATTTTGGGTATCATACAGTTAGTCGCCGTCTTCCCGTTCCCCATATCCATCGGTCTCTATATGTGGCGTCTTCATGATCATTTCGTAATTTCGTAGTGCCTCATTTGCATGTGTTATTATTACCCCATGAACTGATCTACTTGTGTTATAGTTTCATTGTCGCTGGAGTTTGTTGCCATATATTATGTCTTAGAGGTTTTGAATTTTAACCCCCAGTTGTTATAGTGTTGGGATAACCTTCGAAGCATCAATTCCAAACTATATGAATCCTGGGCATCTATTTCCCGGTTATTTGCGAAACTTGATGTAAATAGACAGAAGTCATCAATCAGTACCTATATCCATTACCCTACAGCTCGAGATATAGGTAATTATAAAACGACGTTCGTACACGACGGTTAATTGAATAAAGACAATATGTGTGGATCTGTGCCACTATTAATAACATTCTCTCATCTCTAATTAAGCTAAGCTCAGTATAGTTCATAGTTGTATTGTATGCTGATCTTGTAGTTCGATGTGTGGGTATCCTTATGTAGGGTCCAAATTTAAAGGTTTGAATTCTTCTGGATCTTTGCGTGTGAAATCCATAAAGTCTATTTGGGGTAGAGCAATATTTTCGCACGATATTTCCAAAGTTTGAAATATTGTTTCTGATTTTTAGTTCACAATTATCGTTCAGTTTTCTTTGTTGTTCTCGCACTTTTGTACTGCGACTGTTGCTTCAGGGCTTATAAGGGTTCATTTGTCAGATTCTAATTTTTGGATTTGTACGAGGTTGATGTCCACAGGAATCAGTCGATAATTTTACAGATTCTTTCGATAATTTCAGTAGTTGGATTTCACATGGGAAGTCTTCCGTTGATTGTAGTCGATTTTCTTCATAGCAAATGAACTCTTCAGGAATTACTTCTTTGCTTTATTTATTTGTAAAGAAGTGGTTCTGCTCATTTAAAATTTAATATTTTTAATGAGGAATTATTATATTACAAGAGTTATTCTTGTATATGGGTAAAGGGGGTATTTCTTTTACTGCGGGATTGTATTTGAATAATTTTCTCAGAGACAAGATTGTTTTCTTCTTTGGGTTCGAAAGGTAGTTTGCTGTTTCAAGATTTTTGGAGATGTTTTGCATTCTTGTAGTAACTCATTTGATTGGGGGGTTTGAGCTCGCTGATTAATATGTTATTTAAATAGCATATTGATCACCGGGTTTTTCGAAACCGCAATCGAGTTGATTTAGGCCTCAAATTCGGATATTCTAATGCTGCTTCTTTCAGAAGCAGCAATTGAATTAGCTGCGGGTTTAAAGGTTGGTGGTTTTGGGAAGGTTTTTTTCGTTTATTTGGGAGTTTTCAGGGGTTGTCGGTTTCTGTTTTTTTTTTGGCATAGCAAGTATAACTACTTTATTGTTGATCTACCACTTTATTGTTGAATAAGGCAAACTTTCGCTTAGCCTCATTTTCCAATTTGAGATTATGGTTATTGGGAGATTTGAAGTAACCGGCAGGGTGAGGCCCTGCACAGTTGCAGCATTTTGCTGGAGTTTAGGCTGTTTTGGTGCAGGTTGTATAGAAATGTCTGCGGCTACATCTGTGGCAATATTTAGGGGATTGTGGGTTCTCTGGGACTCAATGAGCACGGACAGGTTTTGAAGGTAAGAAATTTGGGTAAATTTGGGCAGGAGCACTTCAACCATCTTGGACACTTTTTGGCGCGTCCAAAACGGAAAATGTGAGTTCGCTCTGGTGCAAAGCCCAAAGCGAATATTTCTTTATTAATTTGCTCGATGTCCATTCGGGCATCGAGGCCTTTACTAATGAAGGACAGTTTTCTGTCCTCTTGGATGTTGTGGGATTTGAGGAGTTAGATGGTGGGTTTGGTAAATAGATTCCCCTGCGGCAGAGTTTTTAAATTTCTAATTTTTGTAGTTTTGGGCAAGGACGTCCTGGGTTTTACGCCTTTCTTAATAAATATGTTTATTAACAACTAATGCTATTTGACTTAATTTTGATTCAAGCAATTTTTCATTCTGATATATTTTCATAATCGTCTCTTTGAATTTATTTATCAAATTAAGAGACACAGCGTTCTTTTTGACAATATTAGTCGCTAGTTTATTTTGTAGTTTATTACTTAAATAATTAAATAATTATAACGTTCTCCGTCTGCGAAATCTAAATTTCCTGTTATGGATTTTAAAATTGATCCTACAACGTTAATCAAACCTCTTTTTATTCGCTGTGGGTGTGGAATTAATTCATTAATTTTTGATTCAACTCTTTCTTGAATAAGTGAAAATATTTTTTTAAAGTTTGATGTTTCAATTTTATATGCATCATTAGATGTTACTTTTCCGTTAAGTGATTTGATTTTCAGTTTAATTTGTTTATTTTTATAATAATTTGATTTACTAGTTTTATAGGAATTTGTCCGATGTTTTTCTGAGTGTTATTTTGTCAGCCCCTTCGAGTGTTAATGTCATGTGCAACATTCTGAAAAAAGAGACAAGGATGAGATAATTAAAGTTGTATTTGTGTTTTAGAGGTTTTTTTAAATTGGAAAGATGTATTATTCTTTTGATGGCAGTTTGACCTGTCTTTCTGAAAGTCAACGGCAATTAATTTAGAATGTTTCTCAAATTTGTCAGCATGTTTTTTGTCGTATATGCTTTTTTACGTAAAAGGTTTGTTCTGGTTCGAATATATCTTCAGGGTTGTCTTTGATTGAATTTACCATTTACGGCCAACTGGAGAATTAGCAAAAGTTTGATTATTTAATAATCTGAGTGTTCTGTAAGGGTTGAATGTAATCGTTAAATTACACCATTAGATATGGGAAACAAAAATTAACTTTTATTTTGTGAAGGGTTAATAGTTCTGTGACAACCGTATTCTTAAATTCATTGCCATTGTGTACTATTATTTGATTCGGTATTCCATGATGGGAAAAATATATTAGTAGATTGTTAACAATTTCTGTTGAATGGAGGGATTTCAATTGATAAGCTTGAGCGTATTTAGAAAAACTGTCTATTATTGTTAGGAGTTTATATTTTTTGAAGGTGTCGAGATGAATTATTTCAATTGGTTTTAAAGCTGTTTGGGTGACATTCATTGGAATGTTTACAGGTTTTCGTTCGTATTTGCTTCGAGCACAAATTTCACAATCGTTAATGTATGATTGAATAGAATTTTTTAAGTCAGGCCTGTAATATTTTTCTTTTATTATTTTTAAAGTTTCTTCACAACCTCGATGATTCGTTTTACTTTCATGATAGTTCTTTATGATATCTGGAATTTCGTTTTTATCAATAACATCGATTAATTTTGTTAAAAATCTAAAAAAAAATTAAGGAAGGTCATTAAAAATTTCGTCTATAATCTCTGCGAAAGGTTCATAGATGTTAGGAATCAAAATATAAATAATATTGTTTATTTGGAACGATAGCCTCTTTAATAAATTGCATTATGTCATTTTCGAAATTGTTTTCAGAAATTTGGAGAATGTATCTGCGTTTTTTTATTAAATATATATTGCATTTTATATTTGGCAGGTAAATGTAAAACTTGCTGTATAATAATTTGATTTGCACAATAATTTACAGCTGCTTCTGATACGGGTATACCTACTATTGAGTCTTGTTCATCATTTGTATGAACAGTGACATCATCCTCTTAGCGTTGTGTATTTCTATTAATTTTTGATCGGGTTGGGCGATTACAGACAGATTTTATCTATATCTTGGCTAGTACTTGGTTGGAGGTTTTTATTTAACTTTTCCCTTTCTTTCCTAGAAAGTTCGTTGAATTATTTTACATAATCGAAAAATTTAGAATAATCTGAATCATCGTTAGTCTCTTTAGTATGAATGTCTATTCGACTTAAAGCATCTGCGTTAGTATTTAACTTTCCTTTTTTGTATATAATTTAATAGTCAATTCTTCAAGTTTAATTCTCCAACGTAAAAGTTTTGAACATTGGTCTTTTAAGGAAAATAGCCATACAAGCGGTTTGCGATCTGTGAGGATAAATTTTCTACCAAAAAGATATGGTCTGAAGTATTTTGTTGCCCAAACAAGACATAAGCTTTCTTTTTGAATTGTGGAATAATTAAGTTCTGAGTCGTTTAAAGTTCGAGATGCGAAAGCAGTTGGTAAATCTTGACCTATTGGTCCTGCGGATAGTACTGCGCCAAGCGCTACACTGCTAGCGTCTGCTGTTAAATTGAAAGTTTTTGAAAATTCTGGATACTGTAAGATAGGTTCATTTATAAGAATGTTTTTGCCTATCTCAGCCCAATTGACAAATTCTTCGGTATGTTCGACCTTAGCACCCTTTTTTAAGCATTTAGTAAGTGGTTTGGTTAATTTAGCAAAGTTATTTGTGTATTTTCGGTAATATCCCAAAAGTCCTAAAAATTATTTTAATTGTTTGGTGTTATTGCTGTTTTAATTTTTTTTATTGCAATTACTTTGTCAGGATGTAGTTTCACTCCGTCGTGTAACGAAATGGCCTAGATATGCTACTTCTTTTCTTAAAAATTCACTCTTATCATGTTGAATTTTGAAGTTGGCTTCTTGTAATCGTTGGAATACTAATTTAAGATTTACAATATTTTCTTGCAATGATGTTGAAAAAACAATTGCCATCTAGATAAACCGGGCATTTTTCATTTCAAGTCCGCGCAATATTGAGTCCATAACTTGTTGAAAGGTTCGCTGGTGCGTTTTAAAATGCGATTAAAAATCGCTGGTGCGTTTTTTAAACCAAAAGGCATCGTAAAAAATTCATAATATCCTTGGTCTGTGTTAAAGGCGGTTTTTTCATTGTCAGCTTTCTTCATCTCTATTTGGTGGAAACCTGACGCTAAGTAAATCAATTGTCGAGAAATACTGGCATTTTCCGAGTTTATCTAAAATATCTGAGATCTGGTAGTGAGTATCTCTGATCTACAGTTTTTTCGTGAAGCTTCTGATAGTCTATGGCTACTCTCCACTTTTGTTTACCAGTTGAATTGAGTTTCTTGGAACTACCTAAATAAGCGAGGACCATGGAGAATCAGAAGGTTTAATTATTTTTTGGTCAAGGGTTTTTTTAAATTTGATTTTGAACTTCTTGACGATTAAAGAATAGTACGGTACGATCTTTAATAAATTGGAATTTTGTCTGTAATTTTGATTGAATGCTTAATTTCGTTTGTAAAACTCAAATATGTTTTTTTCTGTGTAAAATATATCAGAATATTCCTTACATAATTTTAAAATACGTTCTTTTATTCAAGGGATAGATGGTTGGTACAAATGTTGGAGGTTCAAATGTTGGTTTGATTAAACTAGGGTGATTCAAAAAATCGTCAAAATAGTTTCGAAATAGCTTTTGTCAAATTGCTCTTCTTTCATTGGGATTGAAAGATCTATGGTTACAGGTGTAGATCCTTTGTTTAAAACTGTGGTTAGGGTATAACGCATCAATTTTGGAATGTCAATAAGCCTATAAGTACATAATAATAGATTTCAAATACGGTAGAATTTTAAATACGAAACCTGAACAGCAACAGCATATATTATGAGCATAGAAGAAGAACAAGACTTATAATTAAGAGTGAGATAGATAGCCCACTCCTCTTAAGACGACACTAATAATCACACCGAACCTTTCAATGCGCAAGCGCGCATTTCAAACCACTTTGACACTGAATGCAACCAGCTGGTTGAAATTTGGCTTCTCTATGGATGTATATGAATGTGGGTGGCGGTTAAATTGAATTATGAAGAGGATGGGAACAGTACTAAAAATATGTCATTTAGTATATCTATTTTATATTAATTAAATAGTTACAATTAATGATTTATTTACATGGAAAATAGTAGGAAACTAATAAAATATTATGCATTAGTATACATATACTATGTTCTATAGAAATTTCCATCACCGCCTATTTATACTATCTATTTTGAGTCTCCATCTTGCGCTTTTTCGACTCTTTTCGTCTTGAATATTTCTCCGCTATCTAGAATATAAAATATTTTGTGAAATGTTGCACAAGTTAATAGATAAACAATCAATCTAATTAGCGAACCCCATTTAATTCAAGTATTTTACCATCGTCATCATCATCGTTTATGTTTTCTGTTAATTCCCGTAATCGTAACTTAAGGTTTTTGGTTGCCATTTCCACTCTCATTTTTTTCGTTACTTCAGAGTTCAATAATGAATTGAACTCTGAACCAATCTTACTCCTGCATTCTTGAATAAATTCCTGAGCCTCTACTTCCTGCTCCTTTTTGATCGTGGAAGTCTCACCTGATACCTGCTGTAGTAGATCGTCCTTTTCAAACATACAAACATAATGAATATGCTTGCAGTTATTAGTCCGAACTAAATAATCTGTGACCTGAGACTCGCACTTATACCGGTGAGTGCAAATTTTGCGAACTCTGCAGTACGAAGTCCTACATTCATTATCACAAAACATGTTATTTGCTACTGTATATGATCGCTCACTCATCGCAGATTTTACCTTAAATTCCCCGAAACCTACCTCCTGAATTAAGTTCGTATTGATTTTCTCTGCCATTTTATGAGCCTTTATGGTGAACATGATCTTGATAATTATTTGCATTTGGTCTATTCATATTTGTAATTCTTTTCCACATTTTTGCATCCACCAGATTATCCAATTTGTCCAATAATGTCTCCACCAGTCTCCACCGTAATATTCGCTTTTCTCTTCATTTGGTTTTTCTTCAAAAAATTGTCCATACTCGATCTCCAATGCCATGTTGGTGTTGATTCCAGCGCGGATTCTAAAGCAGTGTGCCCACATGCTGCTTCATTCTGGAAATCATATCTAAAAAAATGCTATAAATCACCCAAAACGTCATTCGTGTATAGAATACTGAACTTTTGTAAATGGTTCAAAAATATATCTTCATTATCATTTTTCAATTTGCTAAAATAATATTCTATAGTTTTTTTTAAATTTCTGCCTGTCCACCTTAATTCCATTTAATATTTTCTTCATCTGTATTTTCATAGTTTTCTGATTTTCGGGATTYTTCAGTTTTGTTCTTCCTTGCAGGCACCAGCTTCTCATTACATARCACGATCAAAGAAGTTTTACTCCAAGCGTTCCAAGAATCCAATTTCTTCTTATTTGTGCAGTGGGTTCCATCCATCATACAAATTATATTGCTAAAAACTGAATTAGCTTACTTTTCATGACTTTGTTCATGAAACCCGCTCGAGATTGGCGCTAAAAATTAAAAAGTTATAACATTTACCTCATATTTTCAGTAGCCATATGAACAACAACAATATATTTTATATGATTCAAGTAATTTACAAAATTTTATTTTATCAGTACCAATGTGATTTAAAATGTGCGCCAATCCCGACAGTCCGGAAACTCCTGCTAAATTTCGCGCTCGCGCAATGATAGGTTCGGTGTGATTTTTAGTGTCGCCTCCACTCTAAGAGCCTTTTCACACGGGCCACTCTGCAGCGCTTGTCAGTGGTGCTGCTGAGAAGCGCACGTTAACCTGAAGCAGACTAAAGTCGTTCGTGTGAACGCCAGCATTTGAACCAATGTATCGCAATCGGTCGCGCTTCTTTTTGAAGCGCTTCTCGGCGGTAGTCAACCGCTGAACGCCACAGAAGCGCTGTTAAATCGGTGGTCGCGCCCGTGTGAATAGATCTATATAAATCATTGTATCTTCAAAAGGCGCTTCTCAGCAGCGCCACTGAGAATCGCTGCAGAGTGGCCCGTGTGAAACGGCTCTTAATCACCGAGTTGATCACCAGCTAAAAATCTGCAGTTAACGCATGCACATTAAGGGGATCGTATTCCTACGTTTAGTCGCCAGTCCATCTTTTGCATTGGTGAGACTTTCTGGAATTTCGCAATTATTATTGAGTTTTAGATAGGGTATAATTATTTCACCATTATTGATTGACAATTTTACTTTAAATACTTGTTCAGTTTTCGCATCGACGGARCAATAATTTAATTCAGGTTTTGTTTTATGAAATTTAAGCTTAATTTTGGCGTATTTAAATAACCTTTGTCGAAGTCGACACTTTCTTCTAAAAGTTTCAAATGATCTAATCCTAACAGTCCATTGAAAACATTGTGGAATTTGAAGAGATAGAATTTGATATTTTGCTGTGTTGGTAATCTGAATATGTCTGATGTATGTATTAGGGTACGGAACTCGTGTGCTGATTGTTGGAAGACAGTACTTCGAACGGGTTATGAACTATGTTACTTAAGAAAAATAGTTTTTGTTGAACCTGAGTCTATTAATACTTTAATATTGTTTTCTCAATAATTTTGTTTCATCTCATGTACGACCTCACATTTTAATTAAAAAAAAATTTTGATAGGGTTTATTGCTGCTTATTTTTCAGCATGGTTATCGTTTACAAGTCAAGGTTATCGAATGCATGGGACAGCTAGAAATCGGGATCGTACGAACGTCTAAAATCTCTGACCAATAAAACACTTTCGTATCATCGTATAAACGGTTGCATGGGACAGAAGCTTAAATTGTTGAAATGGTCCGCTCTCTTTTCCATCCACCTAATTCATTTCTAATAAGATATTCTTCGAAAATTAAGTTATAAACTCGTCTCCGTGCCATTCATATTTATTATATTTCGATCCACTGACGACAACAGGAATTATTTTTAGATCAAGTTAATCTGCCGTCCTTTATACGGCGTTTGAGCCTATAAACGGCCGAAACCGAGTAGATCGTATCTTAAGCACAAACAACGTTTAGCGTTCTGGTAAAATGCGTTTCGCGCGTCAAACTGAGTTTTAGAAGTTAAACTGGTGAAAAGCATAGTCAAGGTCACGGGGCCATAGCAGATTTTATATTACATGTTACAACTACACGTCCTTACATTTAAATGCTATGATCTAGTTAATCTGATTTATTATTTTATGTAGGTGGCTGAAGAAGATGAAGCTTCACCAGCAAAACAACGGCGAGTGTTAAGACCGCGTAAGAAAAATCCGGAGGAAAAACCGATTGTGAACGAGCCAACAGTAAAACAAAAGGCTCCGAAGCAACCGAAGTATACAGTCAAAAACCCAGAGGAAGCAAAATCAGAAAAGAAAACAAACTCAAAAATTAAATCAAAATCAAGAACCGAAGAAAATTCGATTGAGGGAGTCCCTAAACGAAAGGAAAAAGAAAAGACAGCTACCGAAATACAAAGTAGTCTCTCAAATCCACCGGAAACTAAAGGAAAAAATATTAACGTTAGTTGCAGCAAAAAAAGTGCGAAAGGTAAATCGTTCAATTTAAAAATTACATCATGGAATGTATCTGGGCTCAGGGCATGGCTGAAAAAAGACGGATTAACTTCAATGCTGCATGAACAGCCAGATGTGTTCTGCATTCAGGAAACTAAATGCAGCGAAAGCAAGTTACCCAAGGAAATCCAAAAAGTAAATGGATACCACTCTTACTGGTGCTCTAGTAAGAAGGAAGGTTACGCTGGTGTTGGAGTGCTGTCAAAAATTGAGCCACTGAATGTTATGTATGGTATTAAAGACCAAGCACACGATGAAGAGGGTAGATGCATAACTCTTGAATTTGATACGTTCTATGTGATCAACGTGTATGTGCCGAACGCAGGCCGAGGTTTAAAAACAATATCAAAAAGGCTGGAATGGAACTCATTATTCAAACGCTATGTAAAAGCGTTGGATGATACCAAACCGGTTATTCTGTGCGGCGACATGAATGTTGCACATACTGAAATTGATTTGACCAATCCGAAAACAAATAAGAATAATGCTGGTTTTACACAGCAAGAACGAGATGGAATGTCGGATTTCCTTCAAGACGGTTACGTAGATTCCTTTAGGTTCTTATACCCCGATGTAACAAACGTTTATACGTTTTGGAGCTATATGGGAAACGCCCGAGCTAAAAATATCGGTTGGCGATTGGACTACTTTATCATTTCTGAAAGTCTTAAAGAAAAGGTTTGCGACAGTACCGTAGCAAGTGAAGTGTATGGATCAGATCATTGTCCAATAAATTTGTTTATTAGTATATAATGGGTTCAATATCATTTGAGGTTTACGAAACTTAATGTTAAGGTTTTTATGTGAATGTCCCACTTTTATAGCATTATTGTTAAACAACGTATCTATTACATGCGTTTTTCTGTTTTTAACTAATATATTATATAACAACATTTTAAACCCATTTTATTGAGTATTTTGCCTTAAATATAATGTCATTTACCAAGACCCAATTTATGGGCTCACGATGGCTGCCGGTCTTCAGATCTCGGTCGTTTCTGAACTAAAATACCTTTGTCGACGTTTGACCTGTTTTCCTGTGAATAATAAGATATTAATGTTTGAGTCATGTTCAGCTAATTTTGACAAACGAGATAGACTTTCGAGGCCATTCCTTGAAACTAATGGGTTTTTCTTCTTCTTAAAGAATAAATTCTACCCAACGACGGCCTAAAAACCCGAAAAACCCATTAGTTTCAGTTATGACAAAGTTTGCCTGTCTGTCCGACGTTCCAATAGAACGGAAACTTGAATGGCCAGTCTAAAGAACCAATTTCCGCTGTAAATTAAACCACCAGTAACTTTTTAATTTTTGCACTTTAAATGTGTCAACATTT